CCTTCTTATGAGACGGTGGGCTGTAACCTTTCTTGGGTGGACTGTAGCTTGGCCTACTGGAGGGCAAATTAATTGGTTCTTCAAAATATCCTCGTCCACTTCCTCCGTATTTGTCAGTAGCTGAGTAACTGTCATCATCACTGCTGTCTGATGCATAGGAATTACTTGGAGACTGAGACCTTCTAGACGCAGAGCTGGACTTTCTCGACTTAGAGGGAGATTTGGACAGAGGATTCTTGATACTAAAGCCCTGGAACATAGATAAACTCTAAGCATTAGTGAAAGGTACTAATCAAGCAAAGACAAAGATGAACAAAGATGAAGATACTGAAGCATTGTAATATGTATGGTAACATTTATACATGAATTTCAAAGTAGTAATGATTTCTTTTTTTAAATTAAAAAAGCCAAACTAACAAAGCACAATTCTGGTTATAAATAACAATATATTAAGAATGAGTTCAAATGCCATTTACTTTTTCTTTCAATTCTAAGCACCCAAGAACATATACCCAGTAAGAGGGTATAAAAAAAAAACATACTTCATATCACTTACTTCCACCAACACACTACTATACCTTAATTTTACTAGCCATTCCTTTCCCTGCAGCTGCCTTTGTTGCTTCCTTTTTAGCATAGTCCTTAGCATATCTCATTGCTGCCTTGGCAAACATTTCCTTGTGTTTTTCCAGTACTTCATACAGTTCACTGCATTCTGAGGGCCTTGGAACATCCCCTCGCAAGATTTCAAAGGCACGTATATCTTCATTGTAAAACCTGGTGAATTAATGGTGAATCAAAGGTCACATATTGGTTTTATAACAAAGAAAACACAAAATGATGCCAAACTGATATACTGAAGCTACAAAGGCTCTTCATGTTGATGTTATAAAATTTTCTTTACAAAACAGATCATGTTCATTTCATTTCATGTTCATTCTATTCAATATACTTTGGGTATTATGTTATCAAAAATGGTTATTTCAGAATTATTGTCAGTTCATTTTCTACCTTAAATTCTTACCTTTACGGCACTAGAAAATTAGGTGATGAGTGAAAAGATATCAACAGAACAAAACACGATAACTATCTGGCCAACAACAGAGAACAATTTCACATTAAGAATTTGATGACATCAATACCTAACATAACTGGGTTAGTCTCAAACTATTTCACCCTCCCTTAGTTCAAAATGCCATTTTTGAGGGAGAGAAAGGGGAAAGGGGGTGACTACAATGGAATGACACCTGAAGTTTCCAACAACTCACTTTCCTGACCAAGTCTGCCACTTTATAATTTACAGATGAAATATTGGAGGGTAAAAGATTTTCCTGAAAATTATGATGCTTGATACATATATTTTAGTTTGTTTTTCTGTCTGGAACTCACTTCTTATTTGCATCTTTCCTCTCAACCAGTCCACTACCTTCCACAGAGATGCCAGCAAAGAGACCTTTAGTCTTGGAGTAAGTATAGATGGCAGCAGGGCTCCTGACTGAAACATCTCCTTCCAAGTTGCGTCCCAGGGGACCAGCTGCTATTGTGAAGTTACCTCCTAGTGTCAGGTTGCCACCTTTAGAAAAGGCATCTACAGCCGAACGTTTGTTCAGGATGATGACAAAATCTGTTACCTGAAAATTTCATTCAGTCTTAATGATAGTTTAAATTCCTTACCAAAAAAAAAAAATAATAATAATAATAATAATAAATAAATAAATAAATAAATAAATAAATAAAATTAAAAAAAGTCTTTACCCCTTTACTAAAAAAATGTTATCACTTCAGCTGTAATTAAATCTTATGATGTCTGGCATAGATTTTTAAGAAATTAAAAACTGAAAAAAAATATACTTTACCTCTGCTCCTATTTCAAACCCTCCTCCTAACCCGGCTAGGGCGATGGCTGATGGTGGTGACCATTCTGAAATACATAAATAAATATTCTAGGTGAGTTGGATAATTTAATAAAAGGAGCTTATATCTCAAACTGATCAATTGTTTTGCTGTTAATCAACGCAGAGTCTGTGTCTAACCTATGGTGTTCTTGAAAAATTATACAAATATGGTGTTAGGAAAACCTACTTCCATTTGGTAATTTGGCTATGACAATTCCACTTCCACCCCTTGCTGTGACCAGGAAGCCAGCCTTAAACACAGTCAATATTGCGAGTCCTTCTGCATTGAGTACTAAACCAGCTAAAAATTTTAAAAATATTATTTTTTTATCAATAGTAATATCTGATTGTCAAATTGTTAATTTATGTCAAATTGAATTGAACATCTTGATTAAATCAATAAATAATTGTTGTGAGAAAACGGTGTTTATCTTTTATCTTAATTCTAGAGGCATGCTGCATAATTTTTTTATATAGATCGCACCATCATTCAAAGGTTAACATGTGATTCATTTTACTTACATGGTATGAGCTTGTCTGGGCCAACTTTAGCATTTGGTATCGTGAACTCTCTCAGGATCTTTGCTGCTTTCTTGGCTTCGGACTTGAGACTATGTGGAATAGGTGTGTTCACCATGGTCAGGCTTTAAGTCCTACTTAGTCTCCTAGTAAATTTAAAGTGAGACAAAAATATGTTTTGACATCCTGTTTATAAATGTTGAACAACGACACAAACAGACACAGGTAATCAGCATACACCTTCAGTCTCATGCACATGTATCACTGCATGTACCTGTACATATACTGAGTAGACCCTACAGTATATATATATAGCAGGAAGTCGAATTTGGAAAAAAAATGCTGTTTTATTTAAGTCAAGATAGTTCTTAATGGAAATTCATATATTCTCTGCCACTCAAATTACCTGAGATTGGTTTATAATATTTCTGTTCAGTAGGTTCGAATTTTGTCATTACAATATGTAGTATCTTGAGCAGGTTCACGTACATTTATACACGTAGTAGATGACTTTTGATGTTTTCGTTTGGAAAGGTACATGTGTAGCGCATGCGCAGAGGTTTTTCAATGCCAAAACTACTAAAGTAAGGAATCTGGGTTTCAGGATAAATAAAAATAAAAACAAAAAAAAACATTTTCTGTCTTTAAAAATATATATTTTTTAAATCAAGATCAAAACTTAACTATCTTATGGTGTTTTATAGGGTCATTTATTGAAAACAACGTTGCCTGTTTACAAAATACAAAGGCTGCAACTAAATTAAGGCCTCCAGTTCCGTAGATACAGCTGTCAATCAGGAGTCACGTAGAACCCTACAGATTTGATCGGACGCATTGTCGTACTAAACTGAAGGTGATCCAAATTGGTGAGTTACTAGAAATATTAGTATCATGTTTATATAAAAAACCTCATCAGTGTTTGTAGTGCAGACATGGTGTGCATATGCATAAAATTCGAGTCTCGAAAAAATTGATTTTGTGAAATTTGTCTACTCCGGAGTATCAATGCAATGCTATGTGCATTGACTTTGACACAACAGTATTATGCAGTTGTCGTCTTTGTCATGACACTGCCAAGGTTCACGAGAGAGATGTTAAATTCTTACCAAAAGGGATCAGGTGCCTCAGTCACTTTTCTAGCAAATAAGTCACATTCGGCAGTCTCAGTGACACTACTGTAGTGTAATAACGTCAGTGACAGTGACACTTCCCAGGTACAGGATGTATATCTTCACACAATCTGGAGCATAGGGTGTTGGTAGAGTGTTTTTGCGCCTCCCACGACAAAAAAAAAAAGAGGTGCAGATCAGGGCGTTTTGATGATATTGATATTGAGGTGATAGTGCTTTCTAATTCTGCCATGGCATTTGCATAAAACCTTAAATTGTGATGGTAAAATTTATTAAAACAGGCAGTCTGTTGCCTTGACAATGAACTAGGCTTATCCAGTTCATCTGGTCCAGACTGACTGTTATGCCTGATTACTTGTTTAGTTTTTATTTCGGTAGCAGTCTAGACAACTGTTTTGTTGGACTCAGTGGAACATTTTTTTACCTTGCCTTGTCTGACCTGTTTACCTAGACTGAATTTTTGTACAACTTTGATTACCTCATCAATCACACACAAGGATGCAGTTACAGTACTTGATTATTATTATTATTTTAGGGTAAAATACATGCCTGAAATAATGTGGTATCAAGACACACTCCCTTAGTACATGTACATGTATAATGTCTAGGTCAGTACTCATATGCTATATTAGAGTTTTGGTCCTTGCCGTAATGTTGCTTGTACAGGCAGCCATAATCTGGTCCATCCTGTCCGTAATATTTACTACTTTTTTGTCTTAATTACTAGTATGAGAAAAACTAGTTTCCAGACTCCCGCCAAAAGTACCCAATTTCTGAAGCTTATATCTCACAATTTACGATGATCTACTGAAATGAAATTTTGCAATATTGATGACTACTTAAGGAAGGATGTGCAGTGATAGAAACATACAGAGTTAGTCTCTAGTGTGTGTGTGTGTGTGTGTCATAAATGATCCTTGAGATGACAAAAAGACATGACAATACTATTCTGAGAGCTTTCATTTCCATAATGTAAAACAGCCTGGTATGTCTTTGTCCCAGATTTGGATGTTTGAGTGGTTTTTTTTTTTTTTTTTTTTTTTTGGCTAAGAAATGAAAAGTGTAAAATACACAACAATGTTTGGAAACACAAAATTGTTTGTTATAATAAGACAAGTCAGTCCCCTTTCACTTGAAAGCACCCCCATTGTAATTCAACACATAACAATATTTTGACAGACTTTCAAATATGATAACACATTGTTGCTATCCAGTATTATGGACGTGCAGATATGCAAAGCTGGCTGGCTACCTGTACCCAGTAGGGTTGCACAAAATCCACATGCTTTGGTAGAAAAAGCGATTGATTGACAAATCTCTCGAAATCGCATAAACTTCAGTGAGTTCCTAGTTTCGGCATATATGCAGAAGTTGTACTTCCATGTCGTCTAGATTACTCATCACTCCCATGTTTGTTTCAATATTATTTAAATGACAAAATGTACAAATTTTTGACCGTGTGCATCAGCGCCAGATGTCAGACAACTGTTGGTCAAAAAGGTGGTTGCATAACAGAACCAAGCAACCTTTAATGTCGAGCCCTGATGTAGAATGAATCCTCCAGCATTTTGATATCAATATGTACTAGTATGTCAACCCTTAACAAAATAACTGAAAAATCATATTCTGAATGTCTTTTAAACAATTTTTTTCTTTTTACTCTTTTACAGATTAAAATGAATTTGATGAGCCTACTAGCTGCATTTTTGTTCAGCTTGGAAGCCTATCACTTCATAGGCCATGTATTAATCCTATTTCGCATGCGATTGTTACCACGCAAAGATCTTGTGCGACAGCGCTACTATTTCCTTGTTGATGCGATGACAGTGTTTACGACAAACTTCTTGTTTACTGGAAAGCTTCAGTGGTTGGCAGTGATTCAAAACATTCAGCATGGGTACTACTTCCTAACCTGGGATTCCTCTTCCCTTTGCAAGAAGGTACAGTACTTTTGTATTTATTTATTTACTTATTGTATTTTTTTAAAGATCACTGAAATGAATTTATATTTTAGAAATTTTTCTTTCAATAGAATTTTCGTTATCCAATAATGACATGGATTTAAAATGAATTTCTTCAGTTTAGAAACTCCATATTTGTTATTGGTTCCTTGCATGAAATGTATTGGCAAAAAATAAATATATATATATATATATATATATATATATATATATATATATATATATATATATTATAAATAATATTAATAATATTCACACCAAGTGGTAACTCACAATTCAAATTTCTATTTCCCAAATATGGAAAATGTTATGAGGAAATGAAGTTTTAGTCTTTTGTCATAATATTTGCCTTGACTATACTGCAGTATTTACAGGTAGTGATTGGGTAAAGTTGATATGTTTAGTTTTGACCAATGCATATTATAATTATGTAATTTTGACCAAATCTATGTTATCATATTAGGTGATAAGCTGGAGCTCTCTTGATTGGCAACGAAGTCATCACAAAAAGCGCTGGGAATTGTTGGAAGTGTTTGGGACCACCTTTGACGTGCTTGTCCACACCATCAACTGCTACTTACTGGGCCAGTACCTCACCACAGTGGAAGTGATCATATCCCTGTTTATAACACATTGTCTGGTCTACGTGATTCTGCACAACCCGCTGTACGCCTGGAGTAACCCTGTCTCAACACCAGACTGGGTGGAGAAGAGAATTTTCCCAATCGGAGAAAATTATGAAGGTTGTGTCTTGAGTGGAGGTGATGCTAAGAAGGAGAAGTAATGAAGGTGATTTTAGGTGATGAGTTTTACCAGGCCATCAGCTGTATTTCGCTTCAAATTCCTCAATCCCGGTAATGTTTATTATGAAATTGAGTGCCAAAGTTCTTTTATAGACAAAAAATAAACTTTGGAGTGTATTTTTGTTCAAATTTTATTTAGGTTTTTTTCTGAATGTTGCTGACAAACAACCACAAAAAGTGACACTTAATCTTCATTAACTGAAGGCAAAAGCTTTATAGATATTGGTTGTGTTTCTTTGTTTCAAAGAAAAAAGAATATTTTTAATTTGAATGAAACAAATTTTGTACTCTCTCTGATTCCTCAATGACAGGATATGAGTCTTTATTTGAAGAAAAATGTAGACCCTAAGTTAAAAGCAATATTTGAAAGGTGCAGTTGTTTTCTATTTATAACAAGAACATGTAAACTGATGGTCTTTGTTTCCTTCTTAGATATATTATTTTACCTTTTAAAATATTTTATAGATGTCTTTAACTGTATTGATGCATAATAGTTACGCAGTTCTTTCATAAAACCTTTTTTTTTCTCTTAACGATTACCTGATTGGCATTATAATGATTAAATATATTCCATGAATTAGGTAACAAGTTATTAATTTCATTCAACATGATGCCATTATGTATACTTAATTTAGGAAGTGGTCAGGTCTGAGAAACAGTAACTGTAGTATAAAGCCAGACTGTATTTAGTTAAAAAGGAAGAGATGCATCATATATTCAGGCAGAAATATATCATCTATTCAGAAATGTAGTGTTTTGGCTTTAATAACTGTACATGTGTAATTTTTTTTTTTTCTTTTAGATTCAGTATTACTGGGTGGTACCTTGTTGTATCAGTATGTAATATGTTATGACAGCACTGTACCTCATGCACAGCACAAGGGTGGGAGGGTGGGGGCTGTTTTCAGTTCCTATATCATTTAGAATGCCATATCAATGCAGATGTGTATGTTGTATGATTTTTTTTATGTACAAGAGTCACACAAAAGTCACGTTTTCAGATACAGCACTTAAAAATGTGAAGTTTACTATATGTACTATAATAATATATTTAGTCTGTATTACTGTTACCCTATGACTGCCTTTTGGATCGTGATGTCTTGCTTATAGTGTTTCTGATAATACATTACTGCAGTGTTTCTTGGATATATATATATAGTCACATAGTTGTGAATTGTGACATAGTGTATCTGCATGCTATCTGTATAATTAGTCTTTATATATATATATATATATATATATATATATATATATTTGTTCAATTTTTTCTGCTGCTTTTGAAATATGTTTTTGAAAAGTTTACAGGTGTTGTATATAGATTTCTCATTGTGCATTTTTCCTCTGGGATTGGTGTTTTATTTTATTGTGCACCTATTTTTCTTTATTTTTTGCTTATAGTTACTTTCTCTAGATCTTAAAATATATGTGCAGGAGGGGTATGGTAATTTCTTGTAATATTTCACACAAATCAGTTATTTCAGTTCTGAATATTTTCAAAAAAAAAAAAATAATAATAAAAATTCCAGGTGTAGTATGATAGTATGACAGAGTTGGTTGTGTGTTAGAGGGTTTATATTAATTTATATATAGTTCACAGCTGTGGTATTATACCATAATGCAGCATTTAACTACCCTGAGCTTAGTCTTAGCAATGAGCTACTTGAAATACATGTCATTGGTCTCTGCCATCCCTGAACTGCTAATTAATGACATATCATCCATAGTAACAGGGCAAAGCTGATAACCAATTGTTAACCTCTGCTCTAAATACAATCTATCTCTATTCACAGACACATGGTTTGGATGCATAAATATTGGAGAGTATGTTGCACTATCAAAAGGAATCTTTTCAGATCATCTGAGAGGAAACTTTTTACTATAGTTCAAGTATACACCTTTCTCATGAAACATTTGAAATGAGAAGATTTGTAACTGGTATGGTACTCCAGTATACCTCTTTTGAAGATTGTCTAGAACATATTTGATGGAATTTTTTGCAAGGTCTTGGTAATATACGTGTGCGCGCAGGTCTTTGTGAAATTGTCTTAAGAACAGCTATACAGTATTAGATAAAACTTAAAGATACACAAGTTATGTGATATGATCTTGCCAATTATTTATAAGTGGTTGGTCAACGAAACTAAATCAGAAGATGTCACATAATAGCATTTAATTGCTTCTTATTATTATTGATAGGTTATTGTTATTGTTGAAACATAGAAAGTGAAGTTTGTGACTGAATGTTCAATGCAAGGTTACATTTGGACATGTCTAAATGTATGTGGAAGTGAAAAAGAAATGGTTGTTGATCAGCTTCAGAAACTGGAGCAATACACAGAATTGAAGTTATGTAATTATTGCTTCTATCTCTGTAAATAAATGTTAGAAATGTCATGTCTTTGTTTAATGACTGTTCATAGTATCAGTTGCATGTAGCTTTCTTTCCAAAAGAATTATCAACAATGTAATGTAACTGTGGCTGATACACAAAATTATAAGCAGATTTAAGCCAGATAGTTTTTATTCTGTGGGACCTTTTGGCAAAGGGCTTTATTTATAATTGTATCACTTATTTTTATTGTGAATTGTTTACATGTAAATATTTTGAATGTGAACATTAAGTTGAAAATTACTGAACAAATTTTATTTTCAAAAATTACTTAATTGACCTTCCCAAAGTCACAAATTATTTGAAAAGGTTGGAAGTTCAATATATATATATATATATATATATATATATATATATATATGTTTTTCAGGGTTGGTACTACCTTGTAAAATGCTTTAGCCCTGCACCTAGAATTGAGTTTGTGGCCTCGAAAGGTACTTGGAATATATGTTTGGTAAAGAGGCAGATGTGTCTGTACATATAGCTGTCACCCGAGTCTGTCGTCACCGTCGCCATCCTTGCCAGTGGGAAAAATATCAATATAACAATTTTAAATGTCCAATTTGTTTCATTCTACGTAGACTTTTTACTACACAAAACACGAAAACAGATTTAGCATCATTTTTATATAATCAAATAACAAAATTGTTAAATTTGCAGAAAAATGTCAAAAGAACACTTTTATGCATGTAATTAGTCCAATAATGAGACTGTTAACATGCCTAGGAATTGAATCTGAGAAAAACAGTGTAACTTCATCAAAACTAAACCAATCAAGATTTTTTTTTTTCGAACTTGACCTGTACATCAGTTTTATGAATCAGTCCTGAAGCAAAAGTAAGAAAACATTTCATATCAATTAAACAATCCTTCAAAAGGTGCATTTATTTATAGATGCTTACATAACAGTGACCATAACAAAGTTAGAACACAGCTATCAATATCAACAATCCCACAACTATGCATAACTTCAAACAAAAAACAAAAACAGGTCAACACTATACAGAAAGTTACAAGCACATTGATAATATTATATTGAATTTCTAGGACTAGTGAAAGTAGGTGTATTTTAACAGTCTGTCAACATCAAGTCATCAACAAAAAACTATAAATATCTTGCATTACACTAGTTATATCTAACAGCAGGTATTCTCTCCTGACTTTTGTGCACATTTGGTTGGTAAAAAAACAACAATCACAAAGCTTTTAAATGTTGAGACAAACATTAACATATGGAGACATAAAAAATAAATTCCATAGCAAATGTTTCATTAAAGGAATATATTAACTTACACCAAGTATATTGAAATAAACAATATGCATAAACTACAGAAAAGGTAACATGTAAAAAAATGTTTAAATTGTGTAAAATATGAAGAGTCAAATACACCACTAAATTGTGTTAAAGCAGTCCAATTACACGTGTTTCACTATGCATAACAATAAATACTCAACCATCATAAAGTTTGGCTGAAAAATACCAGGAAATAATTATCTAAATATCTCATTATATGACCAAAACATTTATCTAAAACTAAGATCCTACAACGGTCTATAATCCTATCACTACCAGGGTAATGCACATGATTTGGTCTTAAAGTGCAATTTCAGATCACAAATAATCTTACATGGTATTAAACCATGAGTAAGACCATTACTGGACTGATGTACATCTACGTTGTTATGCATTTGTCTCCCCTCACACATTCTCCTAATGTGAGCAGAGGTGTCCTCCATTGTGAGGGGAGGTATCCCCCATTGTAAGTGGAGGAAACTGCTTGACCACTTTTAAGTAAATGTCATTTTTGATCTTAAAAGCAGACTTGGTCCATTTTAAGACTATTGCTGTAATGATTAAGATCGTGTAAGATCATTTGTGATCTTAAATTGCACTTTAAGACCAAATCAAATGCACTAGTGTACATGTAATCCATCAGCCCCATGAAGTTAAAGAGAATATTTATGCCTCTCAAGCACAGAACTGTATGAAATGAATCTCTCTAATTAAAGATCCTTAATTAATTATCACAAGTTATCTCATAATGTCATTTTACATTTTGCAGGAGACATTTCATCAACTATAATATTTTTAGAACACAACAAATTACATAAAACATCAAATTAAATGGGATGAAGCATTATCAATTAACCATGTGATCGAAGACGTAAGCAAATATTACAGACCTCCGCATTTAGCAACAAATTACTTTTTCAGATACCGTTTCTCACGACCCACTTGCTAAAGAGTGGATATTCAACATCTTTACCCATACACAAAGTGTAAATTAGAATTCATAAAACTGAGCAATTCAGATTAATGACTACATATGGAGATTCAGGCATCCCATGAATCCCTTCAAGTTCGACACTGCTTTTTCTACCAAAAGATCAAATATCAATGGTAATCATCTAATTCTTTGAGGGCTATGTAGTCTTTCATTGCCTGAGGTAGAAAGAGGTGCTCAGTTTTACAAATCACTTCATGATTCATCGCCTCACGCACACACAAACGACACAGCTGCTTGAGGGTATTAGGGGTGGCAGCCATCTCTTGCAACCAATCCCACAACCCAACATTTTCTCTTATTACCTGTTCAATATTCTCATTAGCCAACCAGATTCCAAGACGGTGCGAATCACAGCCAGCAATCACAAGCATTTTCACAATCTCTGGGTGTCCCTTTTCTAAAGCAAGTTGCAACATGCTCGTATCGCATTTAAAGGAGTAATTCTTAAACCCAAAGCCACAGTTAGACCTTAACAGTAGTTTAGCTACACCGATTTGATTGCGATTGATAGCATGCCATAATGGTGTACATCCACCGGCATCAGGGATATCTGGATGGGCTCCAGCATATAATAACTCTTCAACACATTCGACATGTCCCTTCATGGCCATGTAATGAAGAGCAGTCCTCTGCTGATCAGTATTACACAGGTTCACATCACAGTTGGCCAGGCACAGTTTTCTGATTGTCTTACACAGTCCCTCTGTGGCTGCAATAATAATGGGAGTATTTCCAACAGTATCTTTGACATTAAGATCAGCACCAGCATTGATGAGGAGTTCCACACCCATCCCTGTGAGGCATGCATAGTGTAATGCAGTCATCCCTTCCTTGTTCTTGGCATTTATTGCACACTTTACCTGCAGCAGCCGTCTCATGACTGGGACTTGTTGTGCTTTGGCAGCAGAAATTAAGGGGGTATTTCCTGCAGAATCTCGAATTGTAGGATTTACATTGGCAGCAAGGAGAAGATCGACTGAATCACATTTGCCATATCTGAAAATAACAAAGTCTGGCGATAGACATATAACTACTACATATTAAATATTACAGATTTCTGAGGCATAGAAATGAATGACTGAACATTTACCTAGGAGCCCACATTTAGAAAAAAAAACTAAAGAAAAAAATTAAGATCTTGGATGGCAGAAATCACGTGGTCACTGAAATCTTTTTTTTTCAATTTCATAAATTAACAATATCATTTGGTTTATCTTCACCTTGCAGCAAAATGAAGAGCTGTTGAGCCACTGTTTGTTCTCTTATTGATATCACATTCTGCTGCTATCAGAACCTTGGCCACCTGTGTGTGCCCATTTTCTACAGATATCTTCAGAGGGCTATTACTACTTGCATCACTGAAATCAGGATCAGCTCCTAGAAGAAAAGGAAACTTACAAATATTCAAACTGAAAAAAAAAATACATCTTATCAAAAGAAAAGGAAACTTACAAATATTCAAACTGAAAAAAAAAATCTTATCAAAAGATAAAGTTTTCAAATCTTAATAGAAAAACAAGGAAGTAGTCACTATGAGTTATAAACAAACTAAATTGCTTTCATTTATGAAATACGTATTTAGTAAGTTTTGGGTACTTCATGTCTAGTTGAATGTGATGAAAGATGCCACAATTATCTGTTTATTTCTATAAAGAAAACTAACAAAGACACACCAAGCTCTCCCAAACAATTCCTAAAATTTGAAAGTATGTTGAAGTCAGACTGTCAGCAGACAAAATATAACCATTTGCTGGTTAATCTGTCAATTTTTTATAGCAATTGCCAAATGAAACTTTATTTGTGTACTACTTGGAAGTAAACAATTTTGCAATATCTGTGTGACATATATTGTCAGAGATGAATAAAAGAAATGCTGAGCATCATGACCTATCAATAGCTCACCTTAGCATTGAGACTTAACTCCAATAATCACTGTCAAAAGTGCCTCTAATTCCCACTGATGCAGAATGTATATACAGTATATACATACATATATATATATATATATATATATATATATAACAATCACATGACCCGACAAAACCTATATAACTGTGTATCACCTGTACCACTCAAAATAAATAATAAATGAGGAAAAGGTGTAAGTACATGACTGTTTCATTCAAAAATGCTCTACCTGCTTGTAACAGATGCAAGGCACACTCATGATATCCTAACTTCGCTGCCTGTAGAAGAGCCCGGTCCAGTTCCTTCTGTCTTATGCTACCAGGGATGGCTATCAGCAACTGTAATATTCTGGCACTGTTGCTCTGGACTGCATCTAGGACGCTGAAAAATAAATAAGATAGCATCTATACTATATACAATACTGACACACACACACTGATAACCATTTTACACCTAAAGAATATAAAATTACTGATTTATATTTGGCTGAAATATTTGGAGAGAAAAAAATATAGACATTGATTGATTGATTGGGCATCCTTTGGCATGTAATCCACTACTACACTGCCCCAGTGCTGGTTGTCGTTGGCTACACATAATTATAGACATAATTGTAAATTTTCAAAGAGTCTTTAATATCATAATCTTTTTTCCCAGGGGTATCAGATACATTGTGTAAAAGACTTATGCTTGAAAAGGATTGTGTAAAATCACTCTCTGTCCTTTGAGAAGCCATGACACAGCATAATGGTTTTTTTCTCTGACCTGCAATGACAACGGACCTTTGAAGACCAACCTGTTGTTTCTTTGTTTTCAGATATATGGCTCTCCTTAAAATTCCACCATGAATCCTGTTTCACACATTTCTTAACCACTGGAATATGTGGAACCCATCCCAAACTGAGCAAAAACCATATGTATTAAGATTCATGATCCAATCCCATCTACTGTGTCTTTACTTTAGAACAATTTTTATAAAGATAATAAAACCACACCAGCACACCTCATTTAAATATAAATTTCTATCCAACACATCCCAAACAAAATCTGTATTAAAATCACTCACGAAGTGCTTGCTTGATTATTCTATTCTATTATTAAAATTAAGTTAGTGGACCATTCTTAAAATATCCTTCGAACAGAATACCTGTTCTAATGCTAGAAATTCATGTTCACCCATTTTACATGGTTTAACATCCTTCAAGTTTGATATATAGTGACTGTGCCTAAAAACACACACACACACACAAAATGGATAAGACCGCATAAATTCCAAAAATCTCCACATCACTTGAAGGAGGTCATTAATCCTTTTTATCTATCTAAAATCACTGACAGCATTTTATTTCATTTTCATTTAATTTTTTATGTACAGCTGGTGAAGCAAATTCTGGAGATAGTAAACTTATGGCATTAATCCTATACCTAGGCATTATTTTTTACCTACAGCCCTGTAGACTGATGGTCTGTCAGCTCAATAGCTGTTCAAAAACGCTTTAATGACAACAGCATCTCAGGACACACATTTTATCACTGTCATTCTCTATGTCAACAAAGGACATCCAATCCTTTATGTAAACAAAGAACAAGCCATGCCACCGCATGTCATTATCTAGAACTTCACGAAAGCAAAGTCTAGATTTCATACAAACGATAATACAAAAATTTCTGTACTATAACATTGTGTAACTTTACTGCATAGCATCCCCTCATAAAAACTCTATAAATTCTGCAAGGCTGGACTGGATTATTTTATGAACAATATTATTCTTGTTACATATACTGTATGTTACATATTGACTCTTTTGAATGGTACATGTTATTGTTACATAATGAAGAAGCAACTTGAACAAAATAAACCTTCCTAAAACTTCAATAAAATCAACAATTCTAGTGGACTTTTATGTAAGAAAACACAATTTCTCGTATATTTTTCACAGTGAGAGCGATAATAAAACTAATTTATTTGCCCAGTATGAAGACCACATGGTAAACACTGAAATGAAAACAAAGATATTTGACCTGAAGTATAATTCTTGTTGAATCTGGACAACCTTATCATTAATTCAAACTGTATCACTTTTAGACATACTTGCCTTTTGCATACATACCTGCTCATATTGTTCTTAAAGGAAGCAAAAAACCTAAAACTCTACTCTTGTTACAGTGGTGTAAAAATGCATCCCTATGAATGGCAAAATGTAATGCATTCCACGGACGTCACAGTTATTATAGCCGAGGAAGGCGTAGGGAGCAGCAAGTAAAATTAAGGGGCTTATACGTTGTATAAACATGTAAAGCCCAAAAACATCAATAACCAAAATTATAGCATATATAAAATACTTAAATTGAAATATTTGCTATGGAAATACATCATTTGATTTGTCTGTTGCGAATATTTGTGTTTAATAAATCAGGCTAACAAAGCCTCCTGCTCTTTCGCCCTTGGAGATTTGAAAAGCACGGACACTAGTGAGGCACGAAATGCGAAGGTTCAAAGCGATTCCAACATATTTCATTTTTATGGTTATTCTGACAACATAAAGGTGAAGCATTGAAGAGTCTATTGTGTAATGGAAGACAAAATCAGGACACTGCCATTTACTGATTTTGCTTGGTGTGTGGGGGATATTGCAGATTCAGATGAAGAAGAAGGTAGTATGAAGATTCATATCTGACAGCAATATTTCATGTCATGACATAAGAAAATCCTGCATACATTCTTCCTTGAGTCCATAAGGGTCGACCCAGATGATCAGCTCAAATTTCTTCTTATATCTATCCTTTATGAAAAAAGTTGCTTCTATGAAAGGTTGAACTTATTATAACACATTAAACTCTCAAACTATAACAGTTATTACCCAATGAACAAGAAAAATGAAGTACAAGATAACTGAACTAGCTTCTGACAACACGATGTTGGATGAGTCACATATGGTAGGATTTCACGTCTTTTAACCGTCTTGAGTTCATATTGGTCGATCCTGCTGATCAACTGAAGCTTCCACCTGTATATATCTTTTTCCCTTTGGTGTACTGTACTTGACCGAGATATGAAGTTTATTTTATTTTATTTGGTTCACCTATATTAACGTTACTATTCCTCGTCGTTCTTTCCCTCCAACATGGCCGCGGGACTGTGTTACTGAGCAAATATGACATCACTGTAATGGGTTAATAGAAGAAAGTTAAAGTGACCGTTCAGATTGAATTTTTTTTTTTTTTTTTGACCTAGCTTATGCATCACTAACTTCACAGGTAATCTCCCTGAATGCAATCAGGCCAACTAACTAGCATTACGTTGAGAAGAATATATTATTGCTGGTACTTATTCCAGAACATTGGAAACAAGAGGAGGCATGTTGGGTGGGGCGCCTTCCGATTGAAACTATCGCAGGGACTCTCACTGAATGTAGACAGATAAAAAGATTAACATGTCTCCTCATGGCATTGAGTCAAATACAGAAAAAACTGGTGATTATACCAATATGTTGGAAACAAGAGGGTCTGACATGTAATTCTGATTGTATACAGCAAGAGTCCCTGCAGAGTTGGATTGATCTAAGTAGAATGATGGTTTCATTGGGAATGTGCCCTAAGTCTGTTAATATGAGTGGCATTCAGGGAGTGTCCTTGTGATGTTTGTGTGCGGTAGTTCTAGGTTGACAAAATTCATTGTGAAAGGTCTTGAAGACATGGAAAACCCAAAATATACATGTCTAAGAATGGGGGTCATGCTGCATTAAGGTTGATTTGGTAACATATCATTGACTGGCACACATACATGTCAGTGCATGTTACTGTTATTATAAATGCAGTATTTATTGGTTCAACTTAAGTAAAGTGACTTGTCAATGTCAGGCAGTAAAAAAAAGATTTATTATATTGGTATTTTTCAGAGACAGCATCAGTACGAGGTTACCGCGTCCTGGTAGTTTTAGATAGTGAGAAGGGAGACCTGGTGACAACCAATGCAGAAGACAACCTAGCATCAGTTTCTTTTCAAACACAGGCATATACCACAGCCTGCCAAGCTATGCTTAATCCTGTGTTTGGTCCTCCTAGAAGGCCAAGACATTTGTACTTCAGAGATGAAGAGATGACTGAGTAAGAGTCTGTGTGAACATAGGTTCTGTAGGCACTACATCCTGGTCTTAAATTCTGAGCACATTGCTTTATCAGAGGAAATGGGTTATAGTCTTAACAATCATTAAGACAGCAATTATTAATAATATTGATAAAACAATTATGATGAATTGCTGACAACGATATTATAGCAACTCACTTGTTTGATTCTAAATTAGGATTTTCTTTTCCTAAATTTAATTTTGCATTGTAAAACAAGAGGCTATAGAACTGCTACTACATACAAGGGGGCATCCTTTGACATAATGAGCAGCCCATCTGGCCATAAAAAGAGCTCAGGTGTTGAAAAATAACATGCAACCCTATGGGAATGTGAAGTTGGAATTTTGCCAATATTTGGCTGCAAAGCCTACAATAGCTTATTCAAATTTCACAGAAAGATGTACAGTGCTCACAAAAATTATGTTGTTTGTAAAGGTGAAGTTACCAGTTAAAACATTTTCCACTTCCAACTTTGTCAGTGAAACTAAAACATTTTCCACTTCCATCTTTGTCAGTGAAACTAAGGCCAAATTTGAAGCTCTTGGAATCGAATGGATACCATCTACCAAAGTGATCAAAAATCAAGCAGCCTCCCCAGAGGACCCAGTCAGAAAATGTGCAAGCTGTATGCTCCAGAGACCTAGGAGTCAGTTAAAGAAGTGGTAATCCATTAATTTAGTAGTATTCCACCCAGCTTTTTGTCATGTTGTTATTATGTATTGTAACAAGGCAACATTTTTGTGATAAAAATGTCTTCTGGTCAGTGAGTCAATGTTTAAAGATTTGAGCTTTCTCGCATCATTGTACTATATATTTTCTAATGTTAATATTCATGTTCCAGCACAGGTTGCAAAGCAATGCTGTACTGCTCCAAGGAGTGTCAGATTTGTGACTGGAAATCCTTACATGGAGATTACCTTAGTCACAAGCTCTGGTGCAAGAAAATAGCAGAGTTCATGAAGAAGTCAGATGAATTAAAGAACTTGCCATTTACGTACATGTCAGGTTAGTTTGATAACATACAGTGACAATGCATGACACTCTTACTTGACCTGGCATTGTTTAGCATTTGTTGATATTGGAAACAACAAGCTTAAATTAAAGATGTTAAAAAGAATAAATCTTTTTGTGAACTTTTACTGTTTAAAATTAGAAAAGGATCTGATTTGATAATTTTCTTAAAGTTAGAGTTTCGTCCTTAGAAAAATATTACTGATGGCAGTTTTAATACTTGTAGTGCAAGGAGACAACTTTGATTATTTTTCTTGATCAAAATTTTTTAAATTACTCTGTTTTTATACATATATATGTGTAAAGCATGAATTATTTTTGTTTACCTTATCAGAGACCTCATCAAAGAACTTCAGCAGATATAGATACAAGGAATTCCTTCAGAAAATGGGTGTACTTGAGCAAGGCATGTGGAATGTCGAGTTTTTGGCATCAAAATATGATTATCCTACATATGGTATGCATACTCTGTATTACTGAAAGTTGATTTTAAGGGTTTTGGCATTAGGTGAATAGTTAATTCAAAATTGCTGTTGTTTTATTTTTTGTTACTCTGCCACTGAAGTTCTTTTGTTTGCTGGCATGTTTACATCTTGTTCATAAAGAATTATTATTATATATCCTAATTTAAACCACTATCTTGCACAGTTTTTGCACAACTGTATTAAAACTTGAATGTGCAGAATCATTCTCTTTTTCTAGGTAATCTACAGTATGGTGACAATCCTTATGTTTTGCCAGTGGAATCCTCAATACTTGAAGAACAGCCAACTGATAATGCTCAAAAAATATCCCCCCTCACTGACTGGAAAAGCTATTATGACTGGAGAGGATTCAGGCTTGACTCCCCCATAGCTATTCTACTGCAATACCCATTGACTTTGTACTACATTCTGACAACATGTTTGCCAAAAGATTGTGAGTATTAAAAGCAATATTTTCATTATAATATAAGGTAGAATTATGCATTATTGTATTTTTTAATATTTTGTACTTAATGCTTTGTGTAATTTTCTTAAATTTTTAATTGGAGATATTGATACAAAGGCCCATTTTATAAAAATCTTTTATTACTTCTACTTTGAAATAACTTAAATCTTAGGAATACAGTTTTATAGGCATTTTTGTTATGCATTAAATTAGTGTTTTGTGTGCCTCTCTATTTTTCTGCATACCATTTATAAATACAGCCTTTTGCTTTGGTGTATTTTCTGTTCATTAACCATCATATAATCTAGTAAGTAAGATTAATATTTATATCAGTTTTAACATATGTAAACAATTTATTTCTGGAATTAGGAATATAACATGCATGCTTTGTGTGATTTTTACTACTTTCTAAGTCTTAACCTCGGATTTTCATATTGATACATGGTTGATAATCTGTTTCATTTACAGACCCAAGTGCAAAGCAAATAGATGCTGCGCAGCTTACTATCCATGTTGTCGGTGCGGAGAAGGAAGCCAGTATCATTCCTGTTTTCTGGGTGAGAATCTTTTTGTTGAAGTAATTCACATACTTCATTGAAATTTAATCCCATTTGCTCTCTTTTTTTAACCATTTGCCCAAAAATTAGGTAATTTGTTTATTTTTCTTCTATTTTCAGTATCATTCATAATAGCTTTTGTTTTCTGTTGACTATTATGACTGGTTATGTTTGCATACAATGATATTTATCAACCCTGTTTTACATTTGCTGGATTTTAGGAGCTGGGAGCATTATTGCCAGAAATACAGCTCACAATTATTCTAATAGGGCCAGAAATCTGCAAAAAGGTCCATAAAAAACAAATGCAGCATCAAAATGTGAATGTCACCATCCATAAGGGTCTTTATGAAAAGTACCCCGGAGTCAGGCCAGATCTGATTATTGGTAATAAATACAAATGTACCCTTGGCTTAGAAAAATTGAATCTTACTGTAATTTACCAGTAGTTCTTCTTTAAACTATTTACATTTTTAATTTTCTCAGGAAGTTGATTTCAGTTTGAGATATCTTGCTTTTTAATTAAAATTCTGCATATTGTCATTGAAAGTTTTTGTTCACTGAGTACTTTTAATTTGCAATTTACTTTGAGTTAATATTTCACCAGGAATTCTTTGTTTTATTTTAATGTGTCATTTTTTTTTATTATTATTCTTATTTAGGATTCAATGCAGGAATAAGTGCCTACATGACCTGGAAACCTGGGACTACAAAAATTATGGTAAGGAAGTTTGACATTCCATATAACAACTGGAATACTAATGTATAAAGAATTGCCTTGATGTTTTATGGCCGTAAAGCAAAATTTAATTAGTTTAAAGATTAAAACTGTTTCTTTTGCCACTTTCAGGAATCCGGTGCTCCAGCATATTTTACAGACTACTGTCAGTACAGCTGTGAATGCACCAAGGTTGCTTTGGAAGAGAGCAGAATTGCCAGTGTGTCTGATTTTACTGTTAACCCATTCAGAAGTCCTGTGTTACGGTTGTGTGAAGAACATGACATGCCTTGGTACAGCAATGCATTCCTTTTCCATCTGACACCCTGGGACCAGAGTGTTCTGGAATTGGATTAGCTTACTTGGGTTCATATACATATAAACGTTGTTAGGATAAGTCTGAAACAAGAAAGTTTCCCAGCCTTGAATTCAGAAAACATTTACAGTATATGAAGGATAGTGAGAAAGTCTAAGTTACTTTCATAAACTACAAAGACATAGCTGAATACATTTAAGGCAAATGGACCACTTACTTGGATAAAGGAAGGATAGTTCCATTAATTTAAAAATGTCAATTTTTGGAGTCTTAATTTATATTTTTTTTCTTAATTGTTATTTTTGTTCCATTACATAATGTTATCTGTTCAAATGTTCTCTGTTTTCATTACTTGTTATTGATATTTTTATACTTTTTCGGAATAAATTTTAATTCTGTATTATATGCAAAGTGTAGTTTGTTAATCCTTTGTTTCTGTAGTTATTATGTTTCAGTCTTGGGTAAATAGACTGGGTTTATGTTAAAACTGCATTTACCTTTCTAATAAGGTTCCTACTAGGACACTAGGTAAGACCCTTTCTTCCATGGAGTATATTTCTACAATGTTCATTTACATTCCTATTCCAGCTGTGGTTTAATTGACATGTACAGGTGTAAGTATACACTTTGCTTTCCTTGGTTAACTAAGAATAGAATCTTCATTTTAGTACATGTATGCCAGGGATGGCTGTTATAAGAAGCAAAATTTATCTCAGATCATTGGTGGCATTGGACAAGGCGCATCTCTGGGTTAGACATCGCTTTAGGCCAGCCTTGAAATTCTGAGGAATTTTAAGGTGGGAAGATACATATAAGATAAAATGACTTTTATTATAATTATTATTATTATAAAAACATAAATCTGATGGGTTTTCTTTCGTTTTGGGTTTTAATTTTTCATGCCAGTATTTTCTTTTTTTCTTGCATTTTTGTCTCGCCTGTGCTGCAGGCAGCACCTACAATGCAGGTGATACCGGTATAACAAGGTTACTTTGTACTTGAGTATTTTTTGGTCTAGATTTATTGTTTAAAATTGAAGCATTTTACATGTTGAAGAATTGTTTTTTTTTTTTTTAAGAATGTTATGATATGACTGGTGGCAACTGGTGGCACTTTCAACAGTGGTTTGTAACATACAGACAGTAGATAGTTACTGTAAAACGTGCATTGATTTAATGGCCAATAAAATGTAGGTATGTACTTTGCTGCGAAATACCAAAACAAGACTAGTTCATTAAGAAGGATAAGCGGGTTGGACATCAATCTTCTTTCTTACCTTTTCTTATCTTTTCTTTACTCCGCAAGGGGCATTTAAAACACTTATTTATAGGGTGTGAAACATATCGAAATAAAATGAGAGATTATTGACATAAAGTTGACATGAAGGTCTTTTAATGTTGTTATCAAACCCTTTTCATAATAGACTCGTCCATAGTATAAAGAAAGCCCGGGAGCATGTGAGGGATCCCAGGCAGAAGGTAAACAAACCAAATGAATGCTGGACAATCTAAAGGTCTACTTTTTATCGCTATAATGAAGAACTGTTAGACAAGGGATACGGATCCTTGTCGTACACAGACAAACATGGCATGGATATCGTCTCTGTTCAGAAGTTGGTGGCTGTGCTTTATTGTGGGTGAGTTACTAGCTACAATGTAGTACTGTTGTGTTATGCCAAGTTGCATATTGCTATATGTCATTGGAGTCTGGTGTAGGTTAAATTAGGTGAATCTTATGACTGGTAAAAGAAAAAAAGAGCTGCTGTGCCTCCACTGTCGGTTTTTTAATAAAGGTTGTTTCAAACTATTTCCACACTTACTGTCATGCCTATAATTCCCGCGACAACTAATTGATCATTTTCTGNGTATGTACTTTGCTGCGAAATACCAAAACAAGACTAGTTCAATAAGAAGGATAAACGGGTTGGACATCAATCTTCTTTCTTACCTTTTCTTATCTTTTCTTTACTCCGCAAGGGGCATTTAAAACACTTATTTATAGGGTGTGAAACATATCGAAATAAAATGAGAGATTATTGACATAAAGTTGACATGAAGGTCTTTTAATGTTGTTATCAAACCCTTTTCATAATAGACTCGTCCATAGTATAAAGAAAGCCCGGGAGCATGTGAGGGATCCCAGGCAGAAGGTAAACAAACCAGATGAATGCTGGACAATCTAAAGGTCTACTTTTTATCGCTATAATGAAGAACTGTTAGACAAGGGATACGGATCCTTGTCGACACAGACAAACATGGCATGGATATCGTCTCTGTTCAGAAGTTGGTGGCTGTGCTTTATTGTGGGTGAGTTACTAGCTACAATGTAGTACTGTTGTGTTATGCCAAGTTGCATATTGCTATATGTCATTGGAGTCTGGTGTAGGTTAAATTAGGTGAATCTTATGACTGGTAAAAGAAAAAAAGAGCTGCTGTGCCTCCACTGTCGGTTTTTTAATAAAGGTTGTTTCAAACTATTTCCACACTTACTATAAATATATACTATCAAATTTATACAGGTATGTATTATAAATTTAATTTATTATTTATTTTTGTTGTTATTTAGATCTAATTCATTTGTTTATTTATTTGGGAGGGGCAAGTAATAATGATAGTATATTTGTTGACATAGCTTCTAAATCAATGATTAAACAAGCTAACTTATTATTATTAGTTTTTTTTATACATCTAGCTGTTATTATTGCACTTTTAGATGCTATTGTAAATATGATTACTAGTATCTTCATAGTAACTTATTTTAACATCTTTGTGATATTTGCCATGTTTTTTATCACATTGCTATATAAAGCTTTTTGCACTTCCTAAAAACTTGGTCTTAGTATATCCAACATTATGTTGCGTTGCTACGATATGTTAAGCTTGTGGCATCAGCTCAGTAAATCACAATAAGATAAATATAATTGGGATATTAGATGCATTTAAGACACATGTCTTAGAAATATGCTCAGACATTTGTAGTTGTGACCAACTTCAGTCTTTCTGGTGTATGCACATGAAAGCATTCATTTCGGCTACATTTAAGTTAATAACTTAAACAATGTATATTCTACAATGTAAGCAACAGGTTATTGTCTGAAAAATGCTTTGTCAATTATTATTGATCCATGCACTTAAGTTAATAAACGAGGCAGGTAAGATATTGATTAAATGGAAAAATTATCACCATTATCTGTCTCAATTGAGTGAATATGTAACTAAATGGGCTAAACGACAACCATTTATCATTCACAAAAATGTACAGACCAAATTTGATTTAATAGCTGTGATGAAAGTATTACCCCTGCCAATACAATATTGTTAATTTTTCTCTCACCAAGTGTCAGACATTTACAGTGACCTAGTAGAACTATACCCTCATTGCATAAGTACATATATTGGTCTTTTCACTCATTGATGGGTGTTTGAATGGGCCCTTTGAAACTGTGATATAATTTCTAAATTTATATAGGTTGAATGATTACCATGATTATATTGAAATCCAAATAGTCTCCATTTTCTCAATGTATCACCAGCCATTTTGGCATTTTTATTAGGGTTGATTGCCACCTACCTTTTAGGTGTATCAACACATTAATGTCGCTGCACTTTGTATCCATAATTTTAATGGAAAAAATCCCAGGCACAGTGGTATGCTAAATAAGGTTTAGATAAGCCTATTTTGCATGATTATATGATTTCCACATTTGGTGACAATCAGTATAGTGCCAATATTTTGCACTTCAAAAAAATTTTCAATGTCAATTATTATACTATCCTATTTTTATATGTGGATAAATCACATGCATGCATGTTAAACTTTTTATGTTTTCTTTGTGTAATCAAAGACTCTGGGGATACAAAAATTATGAAAATTTATGTTACTAAAGAATTTTTTATATGAGGATTTTTTTGTAGACATCCAGACATTTACTTGCCCCTATGCCTGTATGTCAAAATACAAGCAATACTGAATATCGACCTCTTTGTGTTTTAACAATATCATGTTGGGTTGTAACTTAATCTTCTAAAATCCTTTCTTTTGTCAATGCAAACATCTTAAGGGTTTAAGACAGTCAGTAATTAGGGTGTATATTGATCTTGTGCTTTAATAGTACCACTCTGCATTAATGTCATATCTAGAATTTGCTTGGATTTTTCTATGTGCAGATCAGATAAAAATTCCTTAATCTACTTTTTACATGGTATATTTACATTCAATAAGAAAATAAAGGTAGCTTAATTAGTGTCTCAGGATCCACCTTTGTGCATGTAACTACATTACCTAATAAAATGACATATCAGTCATTAAATATTGTATATAAATTTTAACATAATTGGACGTTTTACCTCACTTATCAGATATTTGCCATTCTGGATTACCTAAGGCATTGTAACTACGTACCTGTTGTTGTAACAAAGGAAGCATGGTAATATTATAAATTTCACGAAAGAGATTTAATTTTATTTCTTGCTGGAGTGGCATATTTCAGCCAAAAGTGAAAATTTCATCATGCTATCTAGAACTGTGTTACAAATATACTTATGTATATATTGATTATAAAGAATATGTTGCATATGTACATGAAATGAATATATTTAAAAATGTAACAACTGAACCCCCTGAAGTAATAAAGTAATAAAGGAGAATTCAAATGAGATGATAAAATAATTTTGCAACTGAGTTGAACTTCCATAATTTGTTTTTTCAGTTGTTGTCATTGGTTCTGCTAAAGGTGGCAATCTGCTACAGGTTCAACATGTAGTTGATAGTTCCCGTGTACGAAGAAACTCTGGTAAGTTTTTGCACTCATAAGTATAAAGATGAAAGCCTGATATGATTTTTGAGTTTTATCTGAGCTAAAAGTTCAAAATTAAAATATGATTTGGAAATGTCATTATTTATGGAAAGTATTATTGTCTTCTCAAAAAAACCCTATGGAAGGGATTTTTTCTTTGGTATGAACTAGATCTTGTGAAAATTGCCCATCTAGAATCTTTGAGTAACTTGAACAAATCCTACAGTCACCATCATGCGGATCTCACTGTTGTATTCTACTTTTGTGCACATGGCTGCACAATTGGTCTTTACTCTGCAATTTTGTTTTTTCTTTATTTTTTGTACTTTCTTCATTTCACCCAGATCCCTGTCAAAACAATAATGGAGGATGCAGCTACATGTGTGTGGCCACTGTCCCTTCTTACCGCTGTACATGTCCCACTGGGTATAGACTGATGGCAGATGGCAAGGCGTGTCAAGACAAGGACGAATGTCTGGAGCCCAATGCATGTCCTGAACTGGGGCAGTGTGTGAACACACCAGGATCATATAGGTAAGATCATGGTTTTATGCATATATTGAAAACTTCTGAAGATAAATAGAATAAGATTTCAGGTTTTCGCAACCTTATCATGTATCATATTGCAGGCATGGGATGGTTTTGGATCTACATGTGTACATTAGGTTAAAAACATTTTAGTATGCATATGCACTGCCAGTCTGTTCTCTTAGGCTCTGTTCTCACAACTTTTAGATCGATCTATCACCGCGGGGAGTCTCACTAGATTACTGTCAGATAATCCGCCTTAAGTGTCCGTCCCCGCCTACTACAAACTATAAGGGGTAATTAACTTTCGTGTCCGCCCGGCTGACAGCTATTTAGCGTGAACCCCCAGGGAGTTAGGTCGATCCAATGTAGGTCGATCTAATCTATGAGAATGGGGTGTTAGAGTGTATTTTATCATTACTGCATATTTCCCACTTTCATTTTCAGATGTGTCTGTCCATCAGGCTTTGCCTGTGATTCCAGGGACAGTAGCTGTGTTGATATAGATGAATGTCTGCTTGGAACCATAGCTTGCAGCCAGGGATGTCACAATACACAGGGATCATACAGGTGTGAGGTTGACAAAAGATATCATAACTTTGTTATGTATTATGTACCATATTGATTTACTTAATTCATTATCCTATCAGTTTCAGTGTAATGTGTATTACGGCTATTTTTGCAGTTTTTCACAGTGCATAGAGAATATTCAATTCGAATTTTATCTGGTAATGTTGATTCAGTGAAGAGCACCACACAACTGATTAGGCATGAAGGTCTACAGCAGTTGACAATAAGGTCTTTGGGCAAGTGCTCTACTAGCCTGGAATTTTATTTACCTCAAATTCATCCCCCCCCCCCCCCCCCCCCCAAAAAAAAAAGTGCAAAGCCCTTGTAATTTTAAACCATTTAACTATTATCTCCAAAGAATTTCAGTTGTCAGAATCAAATTCTGATCAGCAATTGTTTGTCAATTTACAGGTGTGTCTGTAGCACAGGATTTGCCCTACAGGAAGATGGAGCCACATGTGAAGACATAGATGAATGTATAGAATACAGCCCTTGTAATGTCAGCTGCATCAATTTCCCAGGCAAGATATTTCATGTCATATTATTATGTTATCAACATAATATTAGGAATGTTTTTAAAAGCTTATTTGGTAGCCCTGTCCTGCAGTCACAGCCAGTTTAAGTATTATAAAAAAGTCGATGATAAGAAGGTTAAACATCATTAAAGATTTAAGAAAGCTATAAAAGTTTTGATAAGATTTGTCTACAATTCTATTGAAAATATAGCTTCATGTTTGTGGTAACATTTACTTCAGCGTGTCAAAATGAATAAAAAAGATAAATTCCCTCTATGTTTTAACTTGCACCTTTAATAAACATTTTTTATATATCACTGATGTGTTCATATAAAAAGCGACAGTTTATTCCTCCAGGTTCCTATACATGCAGTTGTGGTGAAGGCCAGTATTATAGCAGTAGATCATCAACTTGTGTCCCTGCCTCTTGTGCTGCCCTCTATATGGAGAAGTTGGTAACACATTGTACCATACAGGAGAAGGTGGAGTATGACTATGGAGAAGTGTGTACTCTGCAGTGCAAACAAGGTATCTGTCTCTGTCTCTACCACTACACAAGCTATATTTCAATTCGAAATTATTTGGTTGCTTCTGCAGGTTGAATTTAGATGTATATTTTTATTTAACATTTAGAAATTGTAGCAAAGACTGGTGGTTGGAGAAAAGAATATTATTGTTACTAGTCCACTAGATGATGTACAGTAGGGCTATTTTAAAGGTAAAGGTATTTCTAGGATATAGGAATTGGTGTTGACATAAATTCATATTGTTTTACTTGAATAATTTATTAAAGGTGCCAGTCATCAAATCTGATATCTGCAATTGAAAGGTTTTGTAACATTTACATGGTTGCACACTTTGCCTGTTATAGAACAATTGTGATCTTCTTCTATAGGTGTAACAGTTGGTTCTACCACAGTGGAATGTACAGGCAGTGGGGAGTGGAGCCCAGTGATGGCAGACTGTGTGGAAGAGAAGCCTCCATCCCCACCACCACATATATACCTCTCCTCTAATACTATACAAGAACACAGTCACAGGATGACTGCCATTGGTTGGCTAAGAACCATGTACGTCCGTGACTCACCAGACAGGGTTTATACTCTACACAACCACACTGATATTTTTGGAGTGTATGGCAGTGGACATGACGCTAAATTAGTTGTGACAGGTAAGGCAACATTGGTTGATATTCCAAAAAATCTTTTTATTAAGATGTTTTATATAAGTTTTTTTAGATTGTCATCTCATTATGAAGGCCTCATGGTGTTAATCTCTTTTCTCAAGAAACTTGTACATATAGATTATGTTTTATTGTGTCAAAGGATTGATCATTAATGAATTTTTCCACTGTACTTTTCAGGACAAAAATAAATTAGAAAATTAAGAATTATATTGACTTTATTTTTATTAGTATTTATATTATTTTCTAGAGATATTACTTATACTCATTTATTTGAATTCACAAATCAGAACAATTTCTTGACAAGCTGCAAAAGTCTCCTTTTAGCAATCAAATCCTTATATTTCATGTTAATATTATTTCAGGTAATTTGGACTTTGAACTCCAGCCCACTTACTGGTTGAACATCAGTGCCTCAAGTGATATCCCACCAAACACAATTAACAATATCATCACTGTCCACATTTCAGACATTAATGAACCACCATCTATTCCTTTGCTCAATTCCTCAATACTGGCTGAAACTGCTAGTGTGGGGACTCAAGTGACCAGCGTCCAGGCTGTCGACCCAGACAGGGGCCAAAATTTAACATACAGGATTGTATCTGGTGCTCATGATGATTTTGAATTTAAAGACAATCTGTTGTTAGTTAAAAGTAGCTTAGATTTTGAGACCAGAGAGTTGTATGATATAGAGATAGAGGTGAGGGATGATGGGATTCCCAGTCTTGCTACAAGAGGGACATTGAGGGTGTTTGTGACTAATATTAATGAAGCACCCACTAGCATATTGCTCAATTCTTCTGATGTACAGGAATATGTGACTGGGAAGAGAACTGGCACTAGAAATGGTACTGTTATCAGCACATTGACAGCAGTTGATGAGGATAGAAATGATATCCACACTTTTACTGTGTTAGACCCCAGACAGAATGGTCTTGAATGTTTTAGTATATATGAAAGCTACCTCGTAGTCGGCAATGAAAATTGTTTCGATTATGAAACCAACAGGGTATTGACAGTCCAATTACAAGTGCAAGATAGTGGATTTCTGACTTATACCAAAACTAAATCTATTTCAATATTGGATCAGAATGAGGCCCCGAACAGGGTGGTGTTGTCCAGTGATCAAATATTTAGTCTTTCTCCTGCTGGAACTGTGGTGGGGACCCTGTCAGCAGTGGATCCAGATAATGGTGACAGGCATAACTTTACACTTACTGGACCAAGTCAGCAATTTATTTTGGAAGGTGAGAGCAAGTGTGAAACTGCATTTTATAACAATCTATGCAGTAATGCAAAACATAAAGTGTTACCTTGTGTTATTTCCATGCTGTACTAATGTCTTCTCAAACTCGGTTGTATTTTATGGAGAAAACTTGCATTATCCTGCTTATTTCAATATTAACATTTGTTCACTATTGCATATTGAGTTTCAATTTTTTTTAGGTAACAAACTAAAAGTAAAGACTGATCTTAGTTTACTGACATCACCGACTGTTCAAGTGACCATCCAAGCTACAGACCTTGGTGGACTCCCCTGCCAGCAGTCACTGACCATTGGACTAATACCAGTGTCCAGTTCTATAATGTATGGCTCTGCAGACTATGAAGTCACACTTAGTCCTAGTTCTGTGCTAGAAAACAGTGCTGCAGGAACTGAGGTGGGAGCCGTCAGCATTGTTCACCATGGTAATGGTGAAGTTACTGAGCAGTTTACCTGTGTTCTTAGAGATGATGGAGGAGGGATGTTTATCGTTCAGGATAGGAATAGAATAGCAGTAAGTATTTTCCTAGAGGTAGTATTTATAATAATTTTAATTATTAAAAGCAGACACAGGATATTATTAAATTTTATTTATTTTCTAAACTATCCATTTTCTCTATGGGCATGTCCATAGTTTGGGTGTAAAAAAGTTATTCATAGCTTGTGATTATTTAATGCATTTTTATGTCATTTTTACGTTATCTTAAGGATTACTGATTGTTAACTGATGATGATGATGATTAAGAGATTGAGAATATTAGTATGTGACAAGTTGTGCTTAATTTTGCTTGTATCAATATCATTTCATTTGCACATACAAATAATTCAGTTAAACTTAATATGAAATCAAATGCCATACAGAAGAATGAATGCCAAAATTATGACACATAGTTTTCTAAATCCATGACTTCTTTTAAATATTGATCATCAAACATTTTTGTATTTGTCCTGTTACCTTTGAATGTTTAATTCCAGGTCTCTGGCAGTACACTGATTGATTTTGAGAGTGGACATCAAATTCAGATCCAAGTGGAATGTTTCAGTTCAAGCGAAGTGTTACATCAGACCTTTGTCATCACAATTCTTAATGTTAATGAACCACCTACAGATATTAAAAGTGAAACAGGGAAGTTTGAAGTTATGGAAAACAAAATGCCTGGTATGTAAATGTTGATGGGATACTCATAAGAAACTGGTTTCATCAAAATTTTATGTTTTTTTGTCGATTAATCTTGATTTACTTTAACTTATTCAAAACATTTGAAATTGTTGTACAATAAGTGTTATATTGTCTGGCATTGTTTCTTGGAAATTAAAATAGTGTAAATTCTATCACTGCCTGTTAGTTCAATATTGTATTACATATGTATATATGGATATATATATGCATATGTATATATGGATAAATATAGTTTGATTTACATAAATGTTGTAGTATAATATGTATTTACAATAGACTATCAAAATCATGTTCAAAAATGCACTTTGCATAGGCTTAGTAGAATGATATTAAAATATTTTCATTAAATTATTTTTGTAACATTGCGCATTGGTTGCATAGAATGCATTGTTTTCATTGTAGGAGAGCTGATTGCCTACCTGTCAGCAGAAGACCCTGACCAGGGTGATCAATTCAGATTTATGCTGGAGTCCAGCTTTACAATGGTTCCCTTTGCCATTGGAGCCAACCACCTTATTACACATAACTTAATCAACTTTGAATTAACGCCATCATTTGATATTACAATTTTTGTCACAGACAACGGAGGACTGAGATTTTCCAAAGTAAGTGTTATGGTAAATTTTAAGATAACAGTATAACATTTTCTCACATTTTAGATAGTATGTGATGTGTTTATTGAATGAGATATTATGTTAGAATCTGCTTTGATTTATTGAAATATAAGTCCTTTGGAAACTGTTTTTTTTTTCTCTCCACAATATGATCCTTTTTTTTCTGTCAACATATTAAAAATCATTTATGTAACTGTAATACCTCATGTAGCATTGTGTGTACTTGTGGGTATACTGTATGCACAGCTGTAATTTCATTTACTGTCATTTTACTATCAGTTCTACTGACTCCTCTTCAGGCAATAACAGTGACAGTGGTAGACCAAAATGATCCACCAACACAAATACTAATGGCAGATGGCACATGCATCATTGAATCAGCTGCTATCAACTCTGTTGTAACAACATTGAGGACAGTGGACGAAGATGTAGAACAATTACATACATATACAATACAGGATCAGAATCCACCTGGAGCTTTAGCTATACACAATAGAAACAAGCTTGTTGTGGCTGATGCAAGTAAAATAGATTATGAGAAGTATCATTCTGTTGAAGTCACAATAGTTACCCAGGACAATGGGCTACCACTGGCATTATCATACACCCAGACACTAACAATACCAGTGCTGGATGCAAATGAGTCCCCAACTAGGATCTCCCTTGATAATTACACTGTAGCTGAAAATTCCCCACCTGGCACTCTAGTTGCTAACATTCATGTCGAAGATCCAGATACGTTTCACCAGGTTTTCTACTGCACTTTAATGCAGGATGCTATCGGAAGGTTCCAAATCCAGTTTGTGCCTCTAGTGGAACAGAACTTGTTAGTGGTTGCTGATGGCAGTTTGTTGAACTATGAGCAGTCAGATACACATCTTATTGAGATTATGTGTAAAGACTGTGGGGGGTTGAATGTGAGCAGTAGCTTTTCAGTTCAAGTTTTAGATATAAATGATGCCCCTTTAAAGGTGATCTTTGTAGACTCAAAAGGAGACACCATGACAGCGCCTTATCCACCCAGTGAAACGCAACAGCAGATATCTCATCTACCTAGTTCCTATGTAGTAGTGGTAAATGAGACGATGGATCCAAGCAGTATTGGGAATGAAATTGTTGCCTACTTCTCTGTAATGGATGACGACAGTCTGCAAGCTGGCAAACAGAAACATACTTGCCATCTTGTCAGTGAAGCGGATTATATCAACAATAACTTGGAAGGTCAGTTTCATTTTTGAGGACCATATAGTTGAAAGTTTTTAAAAATTGAATTTAAGTTATGTTGCACTACTCACTATCATATACATTGTACTAATTTTTTTCATTATTTATATCAGAAAAAGGTAATTACATTGATGCCTAATTAAATCCATAATTGATTCATGATTGATTTTGCAAATTTGATGATAAATATAAACATGTTGAGAAATAACACTCATATAGGTCCAGCAAGTGAAATGTCCAGCAGGTTCCAGTTGATGACACTCAATGGGTCAGTCTGGAATGCAGTAGTGGTCAGAGAAAAACTGGACTATGAGGAAGTGGTGGCAGTATTTTATCTCTACTTGAGATGCACAGATGATGGCATACCAACACCTTTGGTAAGTGAGAGGCTTAAAGTGTGAATTTAAGGAAAATTTGAATATTCAGTATTAGCCTGTTTCCTCCACAGCTTTTCTGTAAAATTAGTTTTGCTTATTGCAAAAAAAATACTAATTTTGCTATAGATAAGTTTGATAAGGTTTGTATCAGAAAAAATATAGTGAAATGAGAATTTGATTTATTTTTCTTCCATATTTTGATCTAGGCTGTTATGGCTTCCCTTAAAGTGGTAGTTGCAGATGTCCCAGAGGCACCATACAACATATCTTTGTCCAATAATAACATCCTAGAAAACAGTGCACCTGAGTCTACAGTGGGTAAGTGGTTAGAAATGATAACTTATGGGATGAAGACAGGCTGAAAGTTCACAAGTAGTGCACTAGCCATCTTGTAAGTAAAGTGAATGATATAACCCCAAACATGAGTTATTAGATATAATAACTTAATGTGCATTTTAAAACTATAATTTAAAATGTTAATAGTTTAAGAGGTTTACCAATTTTCCAAAGCAAAAAATTGTAACACTTTCTTCTTATTAATGTGCTCATGGTAACCTGTTTCCATTAGGAAGCAATATTGGTTGGAAATTTTTTAAAGTTGTAATGATTATAATATTTTATACTGACAGTGCATTATGTTGAAACATTTCTTCAGGATTACTTACAATACATGATGAAGACCCGCCACTGTCTGGGTACATCATTACTGTCACCACTTCTGGCACTCCTTTCTATGTCAGAGGACAGGAACTGAAAGTACTGAATAACAGACTGAACTATGAACTAAAAAGTGTTTTCACTGTTCAAGTGGAGGCAAAGGAAGTGGAAACAGGTACAAAATTCAGTGGTATAATCTTTACTATAGATGTTGATGAAGTGTTTTTATTAAAATGTATTTTACTAGTACTATTTTTTTGCAATAGCTAAATAGACTATTTTTGCTATGGAGTTTAGTATACTCAATCAGATGTTTTATTACTTTAATACTACCATGACTGCATGATTTTTATTAACCTAGACTCAATCACAGATATTTTCTTTCAGGTTTATCACTTACCAAGAATTTTACCATCAATATCATAAATGTGGATGAACCTCCTTGTTGCCTCCAAATCAATGGCCAAACTGAATTGGAGTTGCCAGATAATATGGCTGTAGGTACAGAAATTGGAACTTTGACCGTGGTTGACCAGGATGTAGGAGATACTCATACTTTTAGTTTCCAGCCAGACAGGAAGAGGAGGGACTTAGATGACCATGTGTCCTATTTCAGGTGAAGAGAATGAATTTCACTTAGACAGCATCTGGTTGAAAGACTGTATATAGTTTACTTAATGTATGTCTTTCATCCTTCAAGATAATGTGTTCAGATCAGAGTTAATATTGACTCTTAATTCATTTCAAAATACTACAAAGCCAATTTCATGCATGAGATTTTTTAAACATTTGTAGGGATCCTGATAATTTGAGTTGTTAGGGACATTGTTTTGGAATGGCCCAGTTCAAAGTTCCGAAAATTTGATCCATAATAATTTGTATGTCTGAATTTTTTGTATTTATTGTGCTGGACATTGTTTCAGTGAGATCTTTGTTCAAACTATTTTTCACTGTTTTCCAGGTTAGAAGGCAACAAGCTGTATTTGTCCAAGGCACTGGACCCACTAAGTTATGCTATGCTAGGTATCAGCATCCTGGCAGTGGACAGCACAGGATTGCAACTGTTGGAGCAGTTGTATTTCAAAGTTCTTATGATCAAGTAAGTCATTCTTATTTCATTAATGTCATTAGTTGATGTGTGTGTTTGTGTGTGTGTTTGTGTGTGTGTGTTCACATGTGTGTATTTGTGTCTGTCAAGTTATTACCTGCTAAGAAACAAATTGACAGCTTGGCCTAGGGCATGGATCTCTTGAAATTTCTTCAAAAAATGTGATCCAAATTTTGTTACTTACTGATATTTATTCTTCATAATGTACATAGTTGACTTGTGATCGGTTTTTCATTGAAGTTGTGGTGGCGTCAAGTGTTCCTCTGCCAATGGTCTCTGTGACAAAGGACAGCTCCCCCCATCTTGCAGATGTAAACTTGGATTTGAAGGTAATGGTACATGATACAAGAGTTAACTGATTTCTACCATCAGTAACAGAAATTCATCAAAATCCATCCATAACTTTTTGAGTTAGGCTAGTGATAAAAAAAACAGACAAACAGAGGTCAAAACATAAACCTCCTTGGTGGAGGCTGCAAAGCATTAAAAGATTAAGATGGAGGCGAGGATCACCACATAGAGGCCACTTATTTAGAATACAATCACTCTTCTGCTCTTCAGGCAATGGAATTAACTGCACCAACATAGATGAGTGCTCCCCCATATCTCCCTGTCACCCTGAGAACTCCCTGGGTTGTATAGACGGATATGGTGGAGTCAATAACTATACTTGTATGTGTAAAGATGGCTGGATGCCACCTAATTGTGAACAGAGAGTTGACCAGTGTGATACAGCAATGTGTAGTAGGAATGGTGAGTGTTAGATAAAGATTGTCTTTCTGATACAGAACCCTGGGACAGCTCTTCCTTGAGCTCATCATGTTTTTGGTAGAATTCAGCTCCTCTGAGTCACTTTTATATTGAAAAATGAACAAGGTCATACCTGAATTAACTTCAGAAGACTATTGGCTTATATGTGTTAATTGTTTCCTGATAGTAACCATATATTATTTTCTTTAGGAAATAAATAATTAATTGGTGAATTTATATTTCACAGGAACTTCCTCATGTGTCCACCAGTCTACAGGTACCCAGTGTGTATGTAAAGCTGGCTACACAGGGAGGTCCTGTGATATAGATGTGGATGATTGTGTACCAGGTGTATGTGGCAATGGTGGACAGTGCCAGGATGGCATCAGTGGATACAGCTGTGTCTGTCCACCTGGCTATGAAGGTATGGGTGCATTATTTTGGTGTGAAGTGGTAAGCTCTTTGCTGCCAGCAAATGTTATGACTGATAGATGACAGAATAGGGAAAATAAGATTATTCTGACTCATGACCAGTACTTTTGACAGTAATGGGGCACTGCGGGCACTGCACATTTGCAAATTTGTTTTTCATTTGACGAATAGAAATCCTTTTAAATGTGTTTGATTTTAAACTAATAGTATCTGCATTATTCATGTGATGTATATATTTAATGAACATTAATATTTTATGAGAGAACAGTTTCATTAGCTCTGTATGTATAAATTTAAATTATTGTTTTTCTTTTTATCAAGAGCTTATAAAATATGTGGATATTATTGGAGATATTGGAGGTAATACCCACATATTTTATAAGCTCTTGATAAAAAGAAAAACAATAATTAAAAAAATTAAAATTTTAAGCACAAAATACTGGATGTTGAATGCCTTTTACCATAGCGTTGTTTAATATTAATAGTGTATTTAAATCAATAATTCTGTTCTATAGGGAGACATTGTGAGATTGACCGCACTGCCTGTCTAACTGTCCAGTGTCCCTTCAATGGCAGCTGTATTGTTCTCTCTGGCCCTGGGGGTGGTCATGTGTGCCAGTGCCAAGCCCCATACTCACTGGACTGTAGAGGCTGTGCCTATGGCTATGGAGGACCTCAGTGCAAACCCTGTGATTCTCAACACACAGGTCAGCTGGAGATGGTTGAGATTTGTATATTGTCTATCAGAAAACCAGAAATAGCATCTTATGCCTATGTAGAAGTACATTTAGGATCTGCTTTCCAGTTTGTCTCATTGGGACATATTTTACATTGCTTCTTACGCATAAGTTAATTTGAATAGAACTAATTTTAATGTATTCCATGTATCATAAGAGTTTTTAATTGTGAATTAATCCTTTATTTGCAATGTAGGTTATGATTGCAAGATAAAGACTGCAGTTTGCTCCTCATCTCCCTGTGAACACAACAGCACCTGTGTAGATTTGGATAACTCCAGGTTTGGCTGTATATGTGCAGGTGAGGGAAGGTTGTTTTTTTTTCGTTGTTGTTGAATCCATTCATTCACCAAGAAGTTAATTTCCTTGATATCGCCATTGTTTTCATGGTGACATTACTGCTTGTAAAATGATTGAATTGATTTTAAAATGTTGCTGTTAATTTTTACAATGTTTAGAGAAGTATTGGTACAATCATTTATTTTTTTTAAGCTGCAGACATGACTTTGAGAAGTGACTCAGAGGGTTTCATTTTTTATTGAAAATTTGTCATGAACCTTTTTTGCATTTCATCTGGGAAGGATAATTTTCAAAACTATTTTTATTAAAAATTTAAAAAATAATCTTTCCAGGTGGTTGGACAGGCCCTACATGTTCTAAACTATCAATCAAATCCAACACTTTCTACGTCCATTCTCAGCCATCTCAGGCCTCGGGAACGGAGGGTGAAATATCTATGGTCATCTATGTTATTATTGGCATACTGGCCTTCCTTCTCACAGTACTGGTAGTCATAGTAACATTTTATATGGTGAGAAGAAAAAGGAAGAAGAGATCTGCAAGAGGAAGAGTAAGGTAAGTAGCCTTTAGCTCAAATGTGTTTTCACAAAATATGCTTTAGTCTAAAAGTTAATCTTAACTTTTTTGACCCATATTTGGTCTACGTTAATTAAAAATATGAGCAATATAGTCCACTGAAATAGGAAAACTCATTGTATTAAATAGCCGCTATATATTTTTTCTTACAAATCAAATGCAATATATTCATCTAATTAGGCTACTACTGAATCATTTATCTTAGGTTAGTGACTTACTGATATTAATTGAACAGGCCGTTGTCCTTTTGCTGAATTTCTTCCCACAAAGAGCTTGCTGACAAGAGGACCTTATGTTTTCTTTTACAGTATTTTAAACTTGCTTTGGTTTTAATTAAAATCTCAGATGCATGTTGTCGAAGTTGCAGTTTCTTGTATTGCAAAAGAAAGTATTTACCATTTACCATCCAATTTCCTGTTAAACTACAAAATCCAATGTACTGTTTATGAATATTTTAAAAAAATCAGTCCTTTCTCCATAAGACGAGGTCTCTCTGAGATTTGAATAATTTAAGAAATATCACACTTTGGCATTACAATGGAAGAGTTATTCAGAATCTCACTATTTCTGATCTTGTTCTAGGTATGCCTCCTCGAATCAAGATCCCTTTGTCTTTGGTCCACCCAGATCCATCTGTGCTGACTCCGAGAGAAGGCACAGCTGGGAGGCAGAAACCCAGCAGTTTGTGAACCCCGTGTATAGCAGCATGGAGTCAGCACTGGCAGCTAATGTAGAGGTGTCTTCTGGAGGTAAAATATTATTACATCTTGATTTCAAATTAGTAATTTATTGTATTATTTTTTATTGAAATATTTACAGATAGTAAAAAAAACGTAGGATTTCTTAATAATAATTAATAAGAAATCTCCTCTAGCGGAAAAGATAATTTACTGCTGAAAGTACAACTGGGTTTTGTATTGCATAGATTGTTTTAGATTAAAATTATTTAAACAAAGCTGTTTAAAATAAATGTTTTGTATTTTATGTAACAATACTGGTTGATCAGTCAAATGGCCAAGTAACTAAACATTTGATACAAAAAAGAAAGTTTTGATTCTCAGTTTATGCTTCGATACAATTAATGAAAGATGGCTTTATTTTTCAGAATGCGTCGCAAAAGTTGCAGATCAGGATGCCAGTTAGACCACAGACAAATCTCCACTCACATCTCCTTTGGTGCAAATGTATATGTAATAGGTGGCTCACAATCTGGTACATTTTGGAAATAATACAGTAAAACAGACTAAGGAAGTAATTCTAGGGGCATAGATTACTTGGTATATTCAGGTGACGAAAGACCTGGATGTTTGTTTTTTATTATAATTAAAATGGGCCTGTCATCACTTGTTGCTAAAGATAAACATTTTTGGTATTATGTGTATTCTATAATTTATATAAAATGATTGAATAAACTTCATTATTATTATTATTAAGGAAATTTCTTTGCATACCAAAATATAAATTTTATTTTTTTACATGCAGACTTTATACGTGTATACCAAAATGACAATTTGTAACTCATATTACAATATGATTTATATGACAGTGATTTTTTTAATAGCAATGTTTCTCAGATATAAGCTTTTTTTGTACCTACAATTTTATTACATTCCCATAACCTTTTTTGTTAAAAACAAAAATTATGATGTATTGATTGTTTATTTACCAAATATTTTGTATGTGAATATATTATGTTGTAAACATGCAATATTTCACTCTTCAAAATATCTCTTTTTATTTATTTTTTTTTTTTCAAATAACAATGACACTTCTTTGTTTTTTGGTTTTTCATTTTCGCAGTAAAAGTCATTCATAAGAGGGTGCTGTTATTGTTTATTATTTGTCTATATGTTAGTTAAAAGATACATTACTGGGGTCTTGTTTTATGAAAGAACATAAAAAAAATCTGCGTCCGCCAAAGAAAAATGAAAATGTTATTATGAAACATTGGCCACCCCTTTCAGTTATAAAGAAACCTTATTAATTAGACTACTAAAATGTTTAGTTTAATAGTTTAATGCACTTTTTGGCTAAATCTTTATTTATTTATTTATTTATTGTAATACAGGTGAGCTTTTGTAAAAATTTCAGTACCTAACGTGCATGTTACCAACCCGTTTCAAGTTATCTCTGAAGCTCATGGTGGCTTGTTACGGTAACTTTCGTAATTTTTGTTAATAAAACTTTCATACATACAAAAGTAAGACCTTTTGTGGTAAGGTTTTATTCCAGGATTTTGATTTTTTTCAACTGGTGTGATTACTGATATAGAGATTGAGATGGATAATGCACCCTGGAAATGGCACAGAGGTCATGTCTTCGCGTGTGCAGCAGCAGCACCAACGTCTCCGTTAAATCATTCAGTGATGAACAAACATTAAATTTCCACCTCTCACAAAAGAAAGATCAGGCCTACTATGGAAAGCGATTTTTTTATACTTTTAGATGTGTACAACACGAACAAATAAGTCGAGAGAATGAATGGATCTTCCTTGGCCTTGGCTAATGGAAAGGCGAAACGCAACGTGCGTTGTGCTTAATAGGAAAAACAAAACTTTAATAGGAGATTGAACTACACGTGATATTGCTCCATAAATTTGAATTTTTAGTTGTAATCGAATAAAGGAACTACATGCACTCAAAATTTATGCAGATCGCAAAAAAGGCAACAAAATGTCAGATCTACAGTACAGAGAAAAAGCAGAAAATGATGCACAAAATCGGCTATTTTGTCCATTTCCATGCAATATTACATTAATCTTCTCATCACTCGTAAAAAAAGATGCGGAAATGCGTTTACGACATCGGCTTTTTTAATCCCTACAATGCACCAATGGGTAATATTTGAGGTGCAATTTATGTCGTGATAACTTGCTTTTTCAGCTTTTTTTTAATCACCGCTCATCCCATCCACAATCAGTGTCGCTCCCGTTTGTATCCTATACTACTCAGTTTGGCTGAAATTATCCCTATGTAAACTTGAAACACAACACAGTGAAGTCCTATGTCTGTGTAGTTTCCAATATTCATGCATATTTTCAAAAAAAAAAGATTGAATTTTTAAGTGTTGTCACCAAACATCAATTATATGCAAACTGCGTTTTTTTTTTATTTATTTTTTTATTTTTATTTTATTTTATTTTATTTTATTTTATTTTATTTTTATTTTTATTTTTTTTTTGAGAACATTTAATTATATCATTAAATGATATGGTTGACTGTTTTAATGTGCAATTTTATTTCCAGATGAAATACAGCACGTTTTCCTCGTTAAGATGGCAGAGGTGACGCTAAGTAGGAAATTATTACCCTTGTTAAATGTTCTAGACTATTTTTATTTTGTACTTGCTTACAAAGGAGACATTTATGGGTAATTTATTGTCTTAAATTCCCCATTCCCCTTTTTTGATAGTCTGTGCTTCTGTCAGAAATTCATACCACATTTCTAAAGCATGAATTTGTTGGTTCTGTTCAAAAATCCTATGGCTGTTACACATCGTTCTCTCGGTTTGACAAACTAAAGGGAAATATAAAATTCGTACGTTTTTTTTTTCAGTTTGGTACTCCATTGAGTGATGGGTGACCAGTGCCGGGAGATTGTAAATTTTGTTGCTGTTGCCATGAATTTATATGTTTTTATAATAATCATTTCAGTATCGCATTATGTGCCAGAGGGTTCTTTTCAAGTAAATCGTATCATAAGTAGAAGTATATATATATATATAGCCTAATGCTTCAAGGCACGCATCCCGGACATGAAGTGTGAAGGACATGGCAGAAAGGGCACCTCATCTGTGACCTGATCGTTACATAGGCTGTTTAAGTATATTGCAAGTAAAAAAAAAACTCAATTTTGGTTTTAGAATATGATCTAAAACTAAAATTGAGTTTTTTGGGGCTGCTGCAACTCTTTAAGCAAAAAGTATCTCGTTGATACTCTGTACTAAAAAGTTTGAAATGGGGAAGATGATATAAATTGCGTGTCCCTATCTTAGCCTTTGTCAGTGAGTTGACTGTGAGCTTCTTGTCTGAAATATGACAGATATGAAAACGAAGTCATTAAACATAAGAAGTACATGTATCATTAGTGTATGATGTACTAACGAGAAGTAGAGAGCCGCAGAAATAAACAAGAAGGATGGTCACTACATATGTAATGTTTTTTTTTTCTTGCAGGATACAAAGCTTTTCATAGTATTATGAAAAAATAATAAATAAACCATCTTATGTTATGAGTAAAATCAAATAATTTGTGTTTTCATATTTATCCAAATTTGACTATCCCAATGTGCCTTAGAAAATAAAGAACGAGTCAAGGGTTCAGTCTGCTTTTTATTTTCGTAATTGTGAATTGACAGCATTAAATAGAGGTTGTTTATTACTGAAGCATATGCTTTGTCTTAAAACAGTTTATCAGCCAAGATACATCAATTAAGCTCTTACTGCTTAAATTGTGTTTCGTCGAATACATCCGGTTTTTTTGGACTTGGGAATGGCAGTTCAAGAATAACAAGCAGCAATTCATTTCTTCGCTGAATTACCAAATAAATTGGAAGGGTAATTGTGAAAATTTTATATTCAATTAATCTCTCCTTTAATTATGTTGATCTCCATTTGCTCATTAGTGGCAATTCTACGCCAGGTCTACTTTGACAGCGTAAAATAAGCTCTAATTGGTGTACCGGATACATTGGTGTATTATGTGCCCCGAGTTGTAGGGTACATGTAGCACTGGCGCTAGATTAGTTGTATTAGGTCCTGGACGGGAGTACTAGGAACATGGAACAGGATATGTTTGGTGAAACTTGAGCTTCCAAAAGTCCTTGAACTATTAATAGCAGATCGCTGTTGTGAACAAGATATATAAAGCACCGCTTCTTAGTCCTGAAACAATTTCAGTTCTCCACTCACAAGACTGTTAAGTTCCACTTTTTACTGTTGTTGACTGTGCGCTTGAGTATGGCAACTTTGATGAAGCACTTGTATGTCGCATTTATAGCCGCTATTGCCTTCGAAAGTTGTGGAGTCTTTGGTAAGTTACACATTTAACGTTTTTTAAAATTAATTTAACAGTATATCTAAAAAGTGAAACAGAGAACTCAAAACCCTATAATGAAAGATAATAGAGGAAATGCTCAGTGAACACAGATTTTAGTGTTTTTTGTTTTTTTTTCTTATTTTCCTTTTATACCAAAAGCAGCACATTCATCAAAGCAACATCCAGACTTCCATTCTAGATTAGTCCTTGAATACATCTTTGCATTCAATACTCTATCTAACTATCAAAAACCTCCGTGTTTTTTCTAACCAATAATATTCAGTTGTTTTGAATATGACAATTGCGAGTCGAATAATGAAAAACAGCGTTGAATCTTTGCTCTATTTCGATATCATAATCGCATCCCTGCCTTGAAATTTTTCACTTCATTTTTTAAGTCATTAGTACAAGTCAGTCGTTGATACAGTGGCAGATACAGGGAGGTACAACCTTTGACAGAACTTAGTAACAATTGTGAATTCTATTTCAGATAAATAAATTTACTATCACCGTTAAAAAAAGTTAAATTTTTGCAGAAAAAGGATGTGTTCCCTGAAGGTTTAGAATAGGCCCCTATTTCAATTTTTTATCGTTTCAGGCACGCTTGACTGGGTAAAAGTTGTGGAACGCCCCAACTGCAGGCGCTTTGATGTAACTTTGACCATTGAATGCGATAAGCCCTGGTTTTTCAATAAGCCATCCAGCAGCCAGTTCTCCATGTTGTGTCGCTACTGTAGAGAGGGTATTGCGAGATATTGGTCCAGGGATATTTCCTACGGCGGCCGCACTTGGGAAGTGAAAGTCAACACAGATTTGAAAAGTAGCGGGGACAGAAAGATTGTGGAGGTATTTCCTTTTTTTATAAGAATTGTGATGATTTGCATGAAAGCGATAAATTCTTTTCTGAATGTCGAATGAGAAAAATAGTGAATTCAGCCACACGTTACAAAAACGTATACACTGTCATTAGCCTTTTAGTACTTTCAGCAACGTGAATTTTCGCTGTCTTCATAAAACTAATTTATTCTTTTAATAACTCACTGTAGGTTCAGTGGCACGAATCATCCAGTCGTTCCCACAACTCTGACATCTTGGATATGACGGTGAAATATATGAGCAAGAGAAGTGATGCTGCTGCCCTCTTCAAGGAGACCTGCGCTCATGAGATCGGCCATTCTTTCCTCAGAGATGCCCACAGCACTTTTTACAGTTGGGGTCATAAAGGCAAGTTCTTTCTAATACTTTTGGATATATTTAAAGTGGCGGATCGAAATGTTTCTGGTGGGGGAGGGAGTGGAAGATGAATAATTTGCATAATAAGTAATTTTACCAGTAAAATTTTTGCCATAAAATGTAGGGCACAAGTAAAAATCGGTCTGTTTTGTCCGTTTCACTAACATTCATCTGTGGGTGGAGGTTGAGGATGGGGCACCGCCGATGCTAAAGGCCCGGTTCTACTCGCCTGCAGGATGAATTTCGCATGAATTGAGCACAAAATTGGTTGATATTTGCTACACATCTGCAATATTCGTCATACATCCTTGTATCATTTGGGCAGCATCCGCACAGGCACTTTTTTCCGTTCCCGAGATTTTTGAGCTGCCCAAAATTTTGGTTGCGGATGAGATGCGCAATACATTATTATTGATATTTTTAAAAAGGATATTTTTAACTTTATGAACTTGGCCTAACAAAATGGACCAATAGGAAGATAGCCTTTGATCCAAAGTCATTATCAAACAAGCCTAAAGATTGGTTTTGGGGAATCTATACATTTTAATGTTTACACATTTGTTATTAATCGAAATATTCCTCATATATGTGGAGACATACATTCTTAAACTGAGAAGTATTTTCCATTTGCCTCATAGGAACCTCAAGCATATTCGGAGGTACAAATGAAGACGCCCCGTACTATCCCAGCAGAGGAGAAATAGACCTGATGAAGTACTACAACGGCGGTCGGCCCAGAGATTTCTATAACAGAGTGATCGCCGCCGAGAGTGACGTGAAGGATTTAGTGTTCAAAGTTAGGGACAGTTTCACCACCGATTCTGGTAAGATGTTTGATATTGATATTCTAAATGGACGTTGATTAATTCTAAAAAAGATTATAAGAAACCTAGTTTAGACTGTATGAATTTTCAGTGCTAAAATTTTAACGGTTATGTTTATACCATTGGGCATATTTGAGAAAGTAAAACTTTGAACTAGATGAAATTACACGTTTTTGGTGATTTTGGTGATTATACTGTAAACAGCATACTGTCAGTCGTTTAGAGAAATCTACCTTTTTCATTTTCTTTTCAGGCAGATGTTAAGAAAAATCACCCGAAGGAAAGGAGGCTTTGAAGAGAAAATATCATAATAGCTAACGCTTGAATTTAACTGTATTCCTATGTCTTCTATATTCTCTATTGCTTTTCAACCAAAATTTTGCTGTTATTATTTGAATATAACACTTATGCAGTGTTCGTTTATTAATTTTGAAATAATCAGTAACCACATAAAGCAACATCAGCGTTCTATTGAAAACTAATGTTTCCAATGAAGTCCTAGCTTTGGGTTTTTATTTTAGGATTTCAAACATAGTAGCAAATATAACTGAGTTTGGTTACTGGATAATAACCTGTGTTTCATTTGAAGGAAAACACGGCAACCTGCACTGAAGTTTCTATAACTTAGAATGTGCCTAATTAAATATTCCTCACATACGGACCACAGATCATACACGCAAGCAGGAACGGTCTCCTCACAGCCCCGTCTCCTCACAGTCTCTCAGGGGTCTGAAAGCAGCCGAAAAATATACGGAAGTTCCTGGGTGCCGCAAATCTGACTAATTGATTCCACTCATCTATCAAAAACTACCATACACTGCATGTGTGTCATTATACACGGGCTAAGGGGTCATCCATTTTATCATAGTTTTCACAAGTCTACAAACCGTAAGCTGGTTTCGCTCTCTGTGCGCTTTTGGAAAAATCAATCACCATGGATGTGCTGGCAAAGGTAATGATTTTAGCTTTTAACTTTGTTCATGTGTACTCTCTGAAAGGGGGAGTCTACTCTTTGTAGACTTGTGAAAATGATGATATGAATGGATGACCCCTAAATGTTATTTTTACTCCAGGTTATTCTGGAATTAACATCTGTGTCCTTCTCGTAAACAAACGTTAATAAAACTAAGCGCTATAGAAATGCGTTTTTACTTGTGTTGCCCTAAACATGAATATGTTCTCCGGGTAGGGAGGTTACATAACGCTCACACCTGGCTATGAACCAGATTGTCTCAGGTGTGGTGACTGTGTTAAATGAATTGCACAATTTGTACATTGACAAGATAGGGCGTTTTATCTCATGTGGTGATCTGTGCTTTGTACGTGTCTGTTGTACGTGTACATTGTATCAGTGAGTTTGCTGAGAAATTGCTATGAGGTAACGGTACTGTGACTACTGGAGCGCTATTGTAAGACCTAAAACCAAGGGTCAATTTATGTTAAAATTTTTCTAAAATCATTATCAGTGAAAAGGACATTCTTTTGCGAGATTCCTTATCAAACACATTTCCCTGCTTTGTCAAATTAAGCTGCAATAAAATCAAAACAAAATGTGGATTGAACTGGATCAAACCAGAGTTTGCTGAAAGGTGCTGGTTCTGTGACTTCTGACAAGCTATTGTAAGTGCTGAAACCCAGGTTCAATTCATGTTAATTATTTTCTAAATCCATTATCAGTGAAAAGAACATTCTTTTGTGAGATTCCTTATCAAGGACATTTCCCTGCATTGTCAAATTAAGTCGCAATAGAAGCAAAACAAAATATTTATGTGCGTGTCTGCGTCGATTTTTGTTATGATTATCAAGATAAAGTGTACTACCAAGTGGCATAAATCATTTTTTAATCCTAACCTCTTTTTACGTGGACATGAATACAATTTTGAAAAAAACATAAAAAAAACAAAAGACCAGAAAACATTATGTTTGATTTAATACCCTGTATCATTCATACGTTCTACTATGTTTTATTCAAGTGCTATTCTATTATTTTTGTTGCTTTCTTTAATTTTTTGCTTATGCCCAATTTGTGAAGTGATTTTAAAGAGAAAAAAATAAAATAAGCTGTGATTTGGATTTAGTACATGAATTTAAAGCAAATCAATAATGAGATGGTTAAATAGTAAATTTTGTCTAAGTTTTATTAAAATCGCAGGTGCACTATTATGTAAGAAAAATCCTTTTTTTTAAGCAAAATTGTTTAACATGCCCAACATGATGGCGGTGTTATGTGAACACCACTCTCGATATGGACAAACAAATACCGGTAAATTCCTCGACTTTAAAAATAATGTATGACCCCATCGAAATCATGTGTCACCCCTGAAATCATCTCAGTGACTCCTCTCCCGCTTATGCCAGTCACAGCCAGATTGGACCAGCCAGATTGGACCGGCCAGATTGAACTGGTCAGATTGGACTGCCCATAAGCGGGGGAGGGGGGTTGAGGGAAAAGATCCATCCTAAAAAAAAAAAAAAAATTCGAACTAAGTTCTACATGTTTGCTTCTTTTCAATTTGAGTCAACTCTGATGGGAAAAAGACCCACTTTTTTATTTCATTTATTGTTTTTTATTGTTTTTTATTTATTTTTTAAAGAAAAAGAACCCCTTGAAACTACTGGCTACGGGCCAGGGGCCAAAACATCTGAGAATATTATGAGGACACGGCATTAATCCATATAGGTCTAAGGGAACTTGCACACATATATAAATCTGCTGATCTCAGGATTTCAACAGATATTTTAAAGGAAATTCTGCAAGCATATTTCACGGATACAGTACAAGCCATGCTTCGAAATGCGAATCTGCCATTTATGGCAAATTTCCCGGTCAACTGGAATTCCAGAGAAAGGAGTCTAAAGAGTTCTGCGGCTCTCTCCTCGGCTTACATCACCAGTGCACAGGCCGCGAACCGACGGGCTAGAGTGGCCCTAGCTGCCGCATACCGCGGCCTCGATAAGCTAGGTTTGAATGAAGGAGTTTGTAATCACCTAACTTTGAGGGCGCCTGCCGCTAATGGAGAAGGAGAAGTGATGTTGGTTATTCCCTATGGACTTCATTGGTCTGAGGTATTGTCATAGTGTCTTGAAATACCTGGTATCTCTCATCATCAACAGTCGCTCGATTGCATATACAGACTTGACATTTAATATGGAATATTTTTTCCAAATCATAATTCATCAGTTTTTTTCCTATTTTGCTGACTGATAAATGAAAATAAGGATTAAAATCGTGTTTTAATAACTTTTGATAATCTATTCGATGTCAGTGTGACATCAGTTCATTAACTGAATTCGCCAGTGAAGCATACAAAAATACATTGCCTATTTTAAGTCATACGACAACCATTGAAAGCGATATTTTGGATTTCCATATTTTCCAAATTATTGTCTTTAAAAGAGTTACACGTCCCACAAAGGCCCCCCATGTCAGTGTCTAGTCACAGCAACAGTCGCTGTTACGCTTGACCTAATCTTGCTGCTACCAGAGGTTTCAAGCCGCAAGGTATTCCTTATGATAGGTTTTTCGAGTTTTATCTGAAATAAAATTCCAGGCAACGGTTAAAACTTGTCCAATTTGGCTCAGTTTTGTTGTAAGACACGCAGGCCGTTGATACGGCGAGTAATGACCTACCGACATATTGTCTATGTGGTTCAATTATGGCGATTTTGATGACCAAGGTAGCTACTCATTCTGTTGGTTCTGTAAGTTATCTGCTATTAAAAGTGCTCTGTGTGAACCGGCAATCTCATCGTGCAACCTAAAATTGTTCCTAAGTTGCCCCCTATCAAATGATAGTCAAGTGGTTCCCAGATTATTCCTTTATTTGATCTGGTTCAGGTTTTCATCGATGACTACCATTGGTGTTTTGGCACCAATGTGGTATCCACTCCAAATACTGACACTGTCAATGACCATGGTCACTTAAGAAGTGGCACATGTTTCGTCGTAGGCCTCTTCAGGATGTCTGTAAACTCTGTTTTGACCAGTTTAGCGGTACAGGTGAAGTTTGACCCCAATAAAGAAAGCCACGCGGTTTCAGTGTTCTACCCAGAAACGGTCATGGTCCCCAATTCATTAGAGAAACAGACTACGCTGCTATGCTGTCTACAGTGGCTTCCTCAGAGGTCATCTGGTATCTTAACCTGCTAAAACCAGTTTGGTGTTCGCTAAGAGCCTTGAAAAACGCGTTTTGGTGACAATTTACCTCTCATTCAAAACGGACTGGATGGTTTTGGTTTAATTGCGGCAGCATATCCTGAAGGACAGTGAGTCCTGTACCCTGGTGGTAAGACGTCAATGCATTGGGCGTGGTCTCTGTGCAGGTACATCAGTCTGGGCATTACTCTATAAAACTGTATAGACCATTCCGTTTGACACAATAATCTGTCTGGCAATATCTTTGCTTTTTGCGCCATTCTGGCACAGCTTAACAATTTTGTAAAACACTGCTTACTTCATTTTACGCACTGCAAAACGGACCGCTTGCATACAAAATTTCAAATTCTTCTATGCAGTAGTTGCCGACATATGGATACTTTTTTGACAGAACCATGCTTCGCCATAGCCAAGCTTTGACAAGCCCAAAGGAGCATTGCCCAATTAAATCTCTGCATATTACACAAGGCAACAGTGCAACAGACTTGGTAGTCAGTTAATTGGCAGCGACACACCTGACTTCACACTTCTCCAGTCAGATGTCTAATATGAGATCTGAATTTTTTGAAAAAAGAACGCATTTTTACCTAGGTATACCTTTAAAACTGAAATATTCCATATTAAATGTCAAGTCTGTATATATATATTGACTGTTATATAAAGTTTTACTCCCTCAGCCCAATATTTGATATTACGTTAACAGGGGAATGGAGTGCGAATAATGAGAAATTCAATCTGTCTTTCTATCCCTTCTGTCAAATCTTTCAAATCTTTTTAAAAGGGGCGTTGGCACGATAAGGTGCACTTTTCATACGGTGACCGATATAGCTTGGATTTTTAACATAAGTACCAAGCGAGCAACGTATTGAAAGTATCTGTTACGACTGATAAGTTTATTTAACGTGTGCTTTACGCTTGATTATCCTTTGGAAAACGTATGCCAACGCTTTGTAATCTGTGGCATAAATAGAGCACAATTTTCACATTATCATCATAGCTTTAAGATGGAGGAAATAGATCTTTTACAACACCAGTTGGATCTGATCCAGTTGGCAGTCCACTATTATTATGATTTAAATAATGAACTATATTAAAGTGTTTTTAGAACTTTAGAACTTCATTTCGTATAAAGGTCATTATAAAATAAAATACCCATGAATACTTGCAAGATAAATCGCTCATGCGCAGACAATTGCAGTGGATTCGTTGGAATTACGCCGTATACACGCATAAGCATGCAGGCGTTCGTGTAGG